AGAAAATGGAGGAACTGTCTGAAGCATGTTTCTTCAGATGCAAGTAATGGAAATTTCCAGAGACAGGTATAAATCAGTATGGAGATAACTCCAAGATAAGACTTGGAGTCTTCAGGACCAGACTCCAAAGAGAAACTGCTGAGCTCCAGTTCATTTGCAAATTTGACACCATCAGATCAGGATTAAACAAAGACTGTGAATGGCTATCCAACTACAGAAGCAGTTTCTCCTCCCTTGGTGTTCACACCTCAGCTGCTAGCAGAGCACCTCACCCTCCCTGATTGAACTAACCTCGTTATCTCCATACTGATTTATACCTGCCTCTGGAGATTTCCATTACTTGCATCTGAAGAAGTGAGGTTCTTACCCACGAAACCGTATGCTCCCAATACTTCTGTTAGTCTCAAAGGTGCCACAGGACCCTCTGTTGCTTTTTACATGCAACCAGTTTCTTTAGTGTATTAAGCTTCGTTTGCGTGCTGTTTTATTTTCGTAGTAATCTGCCTTGTTCTGTCTGCTACCTCCTTAACTAGTTAAAATATACCTGTTGTACACCTCTACCCCGATATAACGTGACCCGATATAACACGAATTCGGATATAACGCGGTAAAGCAGTGCTCCGGGCGGGCGGGGCTGTGCACTCCGGCAGATCAAAGTAAATTCGATATAACGCGGTTTCACCTATAACGCGGTAAGATTTTTTTGGCTCCCGAGGACAGCGTTATATTGGGGTAGAGGTGTAGTTAATACATTTATTTCTGGTTTATAATATAACCCCGTTTATGCGATTTCCACCTGGGGGAGCGAGAAGTTGTGTACACCCTCCTCCACATTGAGGGAAGAGGCGAATTTCATATAATTTGGGGTTTGTACTCCAAAGGGGGGTGGATATCTGGGTGCTGTGGCAAGCCCCATAAGCTGAGCCTTCCCAGAGCAGATCTCTGTCTCTCTGTGCAGCTGGGTGTGCCCATGCCTGTGTGCTTGGCTGGAAAGAGCTGGGGAGCCTGGCCCAGCAAGACCAGGTAAAAGGGGGCCCAGGCTGGCAGAAAAGTCTGACTCAGTGGTGGCCCAACACCCCAGGGGGTCCAGCCCATCACAGTGCATTTGATTTTTTCCTTCCCAAGTGTAGTACTTTGCACGTGTCTGTGCGGAATTTCATCTTGTTGATTTCAGACCAGTTCTCCAATTTTTCACATTTTTGAATTCTAATCCTGTCCTCCGAAGGGCTTGAAACCCCTCCCAGCTGGAGTCCGCTGCAGGTTTTATAAGCATCCTCTCCGCTCTGTTATCCAAGTCCTTAATGAAATGCTAGACCCAAAACAGGCCACTGCAGGACCCCACCAGATACATCCTCCCAGCAAACCATTTGGACAGCCAACACTCGAGAAGTATTCTTTGAGAATGGTCTTACGACCGGTTGTGCATCCACCTTACAGTAATTTCATCGAGACCACATTTTTTTTGTTGTGTATGAAAATGTCACGTGGGACTATGTCACAAGCCTTATTAATGCATTAAATTGCAGCAAGGGAGATTTAGGTTGGACATTAGGAAAAAGTTCCTAACTGTCAGGGTGGTTAAGCACTGGAATAAATTGCCTAGGGAGGTTGTGGCATCTCCCTCATTGGGGATTTTTAAGAGCAGGTTGGACAAACACCTGTCAGGGATGGTCTAGATAATACTTAGTCCTGCCACAGGTGCAGGGGACTGGACTAGATGACCTCTCGAGATCCCTTCCAGTTCTATGATTCTATGTGCAGATGCATCACATCTACTGCTCCTCCTGCATCCATTGGGCTGGTTACCCTGGCAAAGAAGAAAATAAGGTTGATTTGCCCTGATTTGTTCTTGACAAATCCACTTTGGCTGTTACTTATCAGATTATTATCCTCTAGGTTTGAACAAATTGACATCTGATATTAAGCCAAGAGTGTCTCTGTCTTCAGCGGCCTAGGGAGATACACAGAAGAAAGAGCCTGGCCTCTGTGCGGGGCAGAGGGTTTTCTGAGGAACGGAAGATGGACCTTGTCGGATTTCACCCCCATTGCAACACTGGAGATGCAGAATTGGAATTCAGCCTGACACTTTAACTGGAATATGACCCTGGAAGTCTGACACCTACATACAAATAGCACCTTCATTCTCAGCTAACCTGCTCCTTGCATCTAGTCAGAGTCCCATCTGCTGACTTCAATGACACAAATCATATTTTCACTGCTTTTTTCTCCTGTGAGCTAGGTCAAGCGCATTCATCTTCCGGGAAAGGAACCTGGAGTCTGTTGCTTCTTGTGCATCCTCATCAGAACTGGTTGTTAGTTTCTAATCTAGGACACCTGTGCTAGCCCACAAGTGTCACAGACTCTGTTCTCGCCCATCACCACGAGCAGGAAATAACTCAGCTCAGCTGGGAGCCCTGGCTGAGTTTGCAGGGCTGGAAAAACCCAGCCCATCCTTTTATAGGTAAAGTGAGCACCTTTGAACTGCACTCATGGGCACTACAACCATGGAACTTCACTAGCTTTTTTTTTTTATGGAGCTACTCCAGCGCAAGCAAAACTTTGCACCAGGAAGTGAAGCAACAGAAGACTCCTGGAGCAGAATGCCAAGCAAACCAGCATGGGGAAGGTCAGTAGGGAGAGGCAGAGCACCTCAGATTATAGCAGTGGGGCATAGGTGCAGGAACTAGGGGTGCAGGGGTGCTGTAGCACCCCCAGTTTTTGTGTGGGGTCCCCCGCCCAAGGTCCTGCCCAGCACCTGGGGTCCCAATTCTCAGCAGCCTGACCTGCACACGGGTCTCTGTTCTCGGCCCCACATGTAGAGTCCCAGATGCCGCAGGATCCATGCCCAAGGCTCTTTTCCCAGCCCCACACGTGGGGTCCTAGCCTTGGCCCCCTTATCCCTGTCCATGTTCCTCCCCCTACCGAGCCATGGCACTGCTCCTGGCCCCAGGTCTGGGGGGTGGGACGGCACGGACTGGAATAAGAGGGGGTGAGGTAAAGTTTGAGGTGGGGACCACTGGCTTTCAGCACCCCCACTGTAAAAAAACATTCCAGCGCCACTGCAGTGGGGATACGCATATGAAAGGCCAAAAGGGGGAAGAGGGCCCGAGAATCTCAGGGGGGAACTCTTCTTCCCTCCCCTTTACTCAGAGGTGGCACAGCCTAGCAGACAAAGGCGGCTTTAAGACACCTCCCAAATTCTGGGTGCATCTAGTGTCAATCAGAGCTGCTCTCGATTCTAGCAGCTTCCCTAGTCGCAGCTCTGCCAGCCTGGGCTAGCTGGGACAGCATACTCAGCCTAGTAGACCCATGCCCCTGGCAGGCCTAGACCAGCGTAGGGTCATTGTTGTGCCAAGGAAATCCACCGTCTTTATGCCATTCCAGCAGGATGCTCTGTGCGAACTTCCACTGTGTTTATGTGACGATCTCACCTCGCTTTGCAAATATCACTATGAACAAGCCTCCCTTAGAGGGCGGGAAGTGGGTTACCTGCTTTTACAGAGCAGGAAGGAGTTAGGGCCCCTTTCCAGAGCTCCCACAGAAGCCAGTGGGAGCAGCGAATTCTCAGCATCACATGCTCAGTGTGACATGCAGAGTCAAGGGCTGATTTTGAAAGAGTCGCCCTGAGCGAGTGGGCCCAGGTCACATAGGGGAGGCTGGAAATGGAACCCAGATCTCCTGGGTGCCAGCCTGGGGCCTTAACCACAAGACCAGCTTTCCCCTCTTAGGCTCTGACTCGGCAAGGCACTTAAACCCCTGGCTAACCTTCAAGTCTACAGGTAGCCCATTGACGTCACTTGGGCCAGTCCTGGGGTCAGCGTTGGAGCAGGTGCTTTTCTATCTTGCTGAACCTGCGTCCGAGTTAACAGCTCGGCTAAGAGTGAGAAGTTCCAGGTTTCCCCATGGGCAGGGGGTTGTTGGGCCAGACTCTCAGTGACTCTAGTAGGGTAGGACAGGAATAACGAAGGACAGAATTTGGCCCACTTAATCCCCCCACACAAGAACATACAACAGTTTGTATTGGAGGCAATAGAGACTCTGTTCATCTACGAAGAAGATATTGAGGCTGGACAGCTCAAGGCAGGAGAGACTTTATTGCAGGCCACAGAACATGCGAGGAGGGCTGAGCTCCCTAGAGGAAAGCGTAGCACCAGTCCGTTAGACAGGAGGCGCACCGCTGAGCCTGGCTCGGACTGGCTCCATACGCCCCTTTCAGCCACCTTTGGAAAACCGCATGGTCCTTTTTTAACAGGAGGAATTGGCCCAGAAGGATGTATGCCTAGGGGGAGGAACAGAACGAGTTAGCACTGCGAACGAGTTTCCCCCGCCCACCCATTTGACTCCATACCCTGGAGGAGCTGCTTAATTTGAAACTCTGGGCCCCTTTATAGTCTAAGCTTTGCCAGACAAGTAACTGCTTCTCTTCCTGTGGTTACTTCATTAGCGGCGCTCTACCAGGATAAGGCACTTTGCCCATTTTTAGCCTGGTGCTCAGCTCTCCAGAACGAGAGGGAGGCCAGGTTTGCTCTGACAAGTGGGTGACAGGCTCCTCTTTTAATGATGCTAGGAGCCTGTCTTTCATTTCCTTGCTCCGGGGTAGTATCAGCGCTACTAGCGTGTGTAGTGCAGCCTTGGGCCCTGTCTGACCGGCTCCCTCGAAAGGGGCTGTTTTCATGATGCGAGGCTGTTGCAGGTTAACTAGGGTGACCAGATGTCCCGATTTTATAGGGACAGTCCCGATATTTGGGGCTTTTTCTTATATAGGCTCCTATTATCCCCCACCCCCTGTCCTGATTTCTCACCCTTGCTATCTGGTCAGCCTAAGGTTAACTCCACCCCATAACCACTGGAACAGGGTCTGTCCTAACTTTTGTGCCGGGGGTGAATCCGCCAGGAACTGGTCCCCGCTTCAATCCACTCTGACCCATTTTGATTGCAACCTGAAATGTTAGCTATTGTAAAAGACAAGGACAGGCTCAGGGTTGTTGGGCCTAAACATTGACCTGCCTTGACAGTCACCGTCTGCTAAAGGAATTAGCTCACGGATTCTGCAGTTGGCCCATTAGTACTCCAGCAGAAAATGGACCAAGCAGTAGGAGGTGCCCATTACCCGATCAGCAGCACAACTCAAACCCTGCAGTCACCTGGTTACTTCAGTTTAACCAAATAAGGTGACATCATAGATCTGTTGCTGTCTGACTTGCTTCCCAGGCATCCCATGGTAACCAAGGTGATGCACATGTACTAGGAGGAGAGAAGGCCTCGCACGCAGTGACCATAGCGGGCTGTTCTGCCCTAACTACTTGACTTCGTAGCAATGCTACGGGTGCAGACGGGATCCAGTAGTTACACAAAACTGATCCCCAACACAGACAGGTGGAGCAGGGTTTGCTCTTCTTGAAATCTACCCAGAGATCTTCCCACACCCCTTTTGTTCACTTTCTTTCAACCGACACGCACAAAAGGTTAACTGGCCTAGAAGTGGAAAAAAAAATTTCCCTATGGGGGAGATGGCTAACCAGCATTCAAGGAAGGTAGGAAGAAAGCAGAGGCATCGGTTTCTCCAGTGACGGAATTTCCCAAGCCAGCACTAGAAACTTAATAGCGCAACTTTCTTTAGCTTAGCTGCTGCCAGACTTACCATAACGAATGCCTGACATATATATTTTTAATGCCGTACTCCCACCCTCCCATGGGAAGTCCTTGTGGCTTTCTTACAAACAAATTCTGCAACAGGGAAAAAAAATGGGTTTAAAAAAAAAATCAAAGGCATGGTTTGAATATTTCCGGTTGGACTGTAAAGAACTGTCACGATGCATTCAGTTTAAGATTGAAGAGATTTGAGCTTGCCCCTCTGAATAACATTCAGTCTTGCTTCTTTGAATAATTCAGCATAACTACCCTCCAGAGTTTAGATCAGGTGATGGTAATGAAGTGCCTTTAAGACCATAATAGCAGGAGAAACTGTCACGAGCAAAATCACAAGAACAGTCTTCTTAAAATCAAGTCCTTTCACAGTACCCACTCCATAAATAGAACAGAGGTTGGGAAGGAGTGGGAGGAAAAGATGGTTACCTTGTCAAAACCCTTTGCAGCTAATTTTAGTCCAAGCTCGTCATTAATGCCATCCACTGCTGTAACGTCCTTATCGCCCATCGGCTCAGACACAAACGCTTTGAACTTCTGGGTTCTGGTCACCATGATCTGCAACAGCAGCAGCGGGAGGGTGGGAAGGAGGCAAAGAACAATCAAAGGCCAATGCTGATATCACACCTATCAGAGTCATCCTGGAAGACCAACACTCCCACAGCACAAGCGTTCCCCTAAGCATCCCTCCCTTGTTTTAATCCCAAAGTAGTTATCCACGTTCCATACAAATCCGACTTCCCCTACCTCCCTGCTTTGATGGTTGAAGCTTATTAACGCCAGAAGTAAATAACAATGAACCTGAGGTTAGAGAGTTGGATACTAAAGGTGCATTGTTTCAAGGTTCCTGCATGAATAGTTGGCGTGTCCCTCATTCGGGTCCTTTAGCACCCTGCATTTTTGCAGCAGCAGTGCACAAGGAATGCCTCAAACAGCTCCCAGATAAGGCCCTTGCTCCCTATTGACTGAGCAATTTTTGTCCTGTATAAACTTCATTTTCTATCCCATTTAAAAAAATAAAAAGACTCTAGTTTACCCCTAACTTGAGATCTAACTTGTAATAACGTATTTGCTGCTTCTTCCGGCTCAGCGGCACTTCTGAAAAATCAGGCTGACACCTGAGCATCAAGGCATCCGAAGTCAGGAGCCACTTTTGAGACTTTTTGCTTCTGTCTACACTGGGAAAACCAGTGCACGTTTTCCAGCCACGCTGCAGTTGCATTGTTGCCACCCACAGCGTAGACGGGGCTTATGCATTTATACCGCCCAGTCGTGACAAGCTGCTCAGAGGCCGGTAGCATCAGCGGAGCTGCAGCGCTGCTGATAAAGCGGGTACTGAGTTCCCCCGTGTGCAGGCGAGCTCAGCGTCTAACAAGCTGTGTGACCCCACAGAGAAGAGTAGCAGAGTCCTGGCCCATCCTGCACCACAGGGCAGAACCCATGGCTCAACTGGCTAGCTAGTTCCTGCTGCCAATTCCAGCGTAGCACCAGCGTCCCTGCCTGTCAGTCCCTTCGCCTGCCCAGCTGGTCTGATGGAGACGCCATCTGCAGAAAGGGGACGGTGGCGAAAACAAGCCAAATAGGCTGGGGCCACTTCTCTACCGTCTCACAGACCTTGGGCTTTAGAGGCCTTGATGGAGAAGCGGCAGCAGTGGGTGCTTCCCAGGCCCAAACTTCAGGTTTGTGACTACACCTCCCTCCCCACCATGGCCTGGGCTGGAGACGCCCTGGCGGACTTCAACTGCCACAGGCTTCTGGAACCCCTGTCCCTATGACATCACTGCCCCCTGCCCCGGGAAGAGGCCCGTTGCTCGGCCCGGGTTTTAGCTGCCTGCAGTTTCTCCATTGAGAGAGTCCTGATCGCAGCCGGTGGGCGTTGGGCAGGAAAAGTGGCTGCGGGCCCCAGGGCGAGCGCTCGTCGGCTAGGAACACTCCTGCAGTTATAAATATTGGACAGTGTGATTGAGGTGCCTAACTGGCAACCTCTCAACAATCAGTGCTCAGAGTGCTCCGCTCCCAGTGCCACGCCACCCTCTCTTCCGAGCCATGGGAGCTTGAGCTCTGCAGAGGCAAGGGCTCGCTCCTGCACTTAGTCACTCCCATTGACCTCACATGCAAGGCCAGGCCCAAACACCACCTGCCATAGGATTGATGGGGCACGTGGCAGCGAGGGGTGGGGAATAAGGGAGAAAGAAGGTTGCCATGTCTCCTTTTCTCAGACGAGCACCCTGCCCTTGAGCTTCTCCGCCACCTTCTTGATTTCAGTGCCGGGAGGTGGAAGCTCAAGGACTCGCGTGGAGTGGCGGGTACTCGTGGGAAGGCAAAGAAAAGGGTGTTGGACTGTCCCAGGCATGGGGTGGAGAGGATCTGGAGGGACTTGTGGACAGGGGGTGATGATAGTATGGAGGTGGCATCTCCTTCCATCTAAGGCAGCCTGTGTGGGAAGGGACCCCGGAATGATCTGTTCACAGCCCTCAGCAGGAAATCTGTGACAAAGACAACAGAGGAGGCCCCAGCTGTATTAGCCCTCTACTCACTGAAACCCTTTCCCCACTGCATGGAGGGGTCTGTCTTCATGTCTATGCTACAGTCATACTGGCAGGGAGTTGGGGGAGCAGAGACATCTCCAGACCACAGTTGGTTCCACACTGAGCAAGGCAGCCCCCTCCAGACACAGAATCAGAGGAAGTTTTACAAGGGAGAATTTGCAGGGTTTTCTCTCCAGATTGTGCCATAGGAGGACATGATCTGCCCTAAGATTGTTGCCTGGCACAGTTTCAGCACAACAGACATGGTGCAGTTTCTAAAGATGGGAGCCACACAGACATTCAAGGTTATAATTAAACCAATAGTCCTAAAAACCCTGGATAGGTGCACCACCCACCAGCATGAGTAGACACAAGGAGCCAGTTATCTGATACCCCTCCTAATCTACCATCACAACACCCTATGCCACACATAACTGCAACCGGTAGAAGTTTCCACTGCCCTTATAAACCAGTCACTTCTTAAACCAAAAAGCACAAACCACTTGCAAAACACACCAGGAGCCAGAGAGCAGAAGGAACAGCCAGCAAGCAAGGAAATAGCAAAAAGCCAAGGCTCCTGCTTTTATAAGGGCAGGGGAGGTGGCTGGCTACAGGAGCTCAAAAGGGACAAACTAGGGAAGTGCACTAGGCTATACCTCTCAACTCCTTGTGCATTGTGCCTATAGCATTATATAGCCTCCTAGGTAACGTATCTGTCTTTCTCTGACTAAAATAGTGCCTTCAAATCCTACAAGAGTTGCTTGTATTAAAATTTCTGCTAAGTTTTATTAATGATTATGTATTTTATTTGTGTATTTCTATAGCAGCCAAATCATGGTCAGTGCTATACAATCCCACCGAAAGATCCCATGCCCCAAACAGGTCACACTCTAAAACCTTTATTCCATGAATGCCCCTAGAGATTTTTCCCATAGCAAAACACAAGGCTTGTAAGACATGCTCCCATGTTAGAAAAGAAATGCCGAGCGGCTAAATTGGATGGGAATGCTGCTTTGGGTGTGACTAATGTGGGGCGTGGCCTGGGGACCGTGGCCCTTATCCCACAATGAAATCTACATGAGCAAAAACCCTGCATCCCCATGGAGCCTTGCTCATTGCAAGCGCAGGCCTAAAAGTACCTCACTGAGACGTGCATGATTTTAAGTAAACTAATAAATCAAGTGGAGAGATCTGGAAATGCACCAGCACTAAGCAACAGGGCTTGCCAAAGCCTCCCTAGCTAGCAGCCAGAGACTTGAGGCTATAAAATAACTTATCCTGTTTTAACCTCGTCATTGTACAAAGCTTTATTTATTTACTCACCTGATTCTATTCCTTCTTCCTTCCCTCCCCAGCTGGGTGGCTTGGTTGGAAACACAGAGTAACAGCCGCCTCCAATGCAGATGTTGATCAGTCAACAGGGGCCGCTTTGAGCATAGAGGTGGAATTGTGTGGGTGATGACTATGCTATGCTGATGGAATAATCTCTGGTGTATGTCAGGGGCGAGGGGGGGAGTTCATTCCCTGGTGTGTCTTCCTGAATTACATCTGGATCAAAGTTATAGGGTGAACTTTTAGCTGCTCGCTTGCTCATTAATTAAGGGGACTCCAGAAGTCCCCCCATGTAGTGCAGCATTCCAGGGAGTGTAGCCACCCTTCCCCCCTGCCGCAGTATCAGACAGTTGGGGGCAGCAGTGGGAGTTGCAGCTGCATCTTGTATGGATCCTTCATCTGCAAGATGGATCCGCTTGTCTGTTCAAAGGACAACTACAAACGGCCCATAGGACTGAGATGGAAAGAAAGCTGGGCTCAGCGGGTCAGTGTCCCTGGAGCCCTGTGGGCAGAGCCACCACTGATGGAGGCATAGCAGGATTGCTGGCCACGATCCTGCCATGATCCAGTGCATAGGCCCCAGGGTCCACACAGGTGCAGGGATCTGCTTGCACTAATGGGCCCTAACCTTTCGTTGCCTTCTCACGCACCGTCTGATGCCGCCAGCTCAGGTGCACTGGTTCTAATGGTTGGATCTGACATCCCTGCAAGAAGGTTTATTTCTACCCTCCACGTTTCCTAATTAACAAGGTGCGCCCAGCTCTGACTCCTTTCATTTCACCCTCAGATGCAGCAAACCTTCCCTTCGTGCCATCACCTTGGGCAGCTGTCACCGGGTCGCTGCGACATGGCATCGAACAGTTGCTTGGTTACGTACCAGGGTTGGTACATGTGCCCACTCTTTCAGGGGTCTGGCTGTGAACTTTCAGCACCGCTTTTACCACGGAGAAATATTTCCAATACACTTCCCTTTCGCTCTCCTCGTTTGATTAAGCTTCGGCGCTGCATGACTTCACAGATCAGGGCCGTTCTCCGGTCGGCTAGGTCTGTTTTCATAGGCACAGTGCTGAATTCTCTTCACTCGACGTTGCTTTCTTGGCTACACGAGGACAGGAACAAACATTGCAGGTTGGCAGCAGAGCGTGGGCCTTAAACAGCGTGGGCCCCTCAGGCCCAGATCCTCACAGGGATATAGGCACCTTGGTTTTGATGGGAGGATCTGGGCCTGACTCCTTGGAGCCAGCACAGATTCACAATTGATCGGATTTCCTCCTCTGGCTGGACCAGAGAGGGAGTGAGCTCACCATCAGTTTACCCCATCAGCAGGAAGGCTGGTGAGGCACAGATACCCCCTCCTCCTCTCTAGCTTGGAGCACCAAAGTTTGTAGTGCGCGCCCTGGTCCAGCTTGTCCCAGTTAAATCTAACTCTGGGGGTAGTTAACATGAGTGTCACTGGAGAAATAGAGCCATATAAAGAGAATCTTCCCCCTCTCCCTACACCCTCAAAAGGTTTTCTACTTAAGCTGCTTGGGATAGGGACCATCTTTTTGTTCTGTGTTTGCACAGCACAATGGGGTCTTGGTTCATGACTGGGGCTCCCAGGTGCTACCACAATACAAATGAATAACAATAATAATAATCATTAATAACTGCCTCACAGTATCAGACGAGGGGGCCATCTACTACAAATTGCTTCAAGGAAGGTACAAGAAATCCTGCAGGAAATAGTAATGGGATAATCTGCCCCCAAAGAAGGTTTCCTCCTGACTCCCATTAGTTAGAGGTTGGTTTAAGCCCTGAAGCATGTGGGTTTATAGTCCTTCCAAAACTCTTGAGTTTTTTTGGTTATGTATTATTATAACCCTAGATATTCTTTGTAATCAAATAATAATAATAATTAATATAGCTTATCAAGTGCTTTTCATCCACAGATCTCAAAGTGTTTCATGAAAGAGGTCAGTAACATTCTCACTATTTTACAGATGGGGAAACTGAGACACGGGGAGGGGACGTGACTTGCCTAAGGTCACCTAGAAGGCCAATGTTAGAGCTGGAAACAGAACCCAGCTCTTCTGAGTCTCAGTCCAGTGCTCTATCCACTAGTCAACACTGTCTCTCCAATTCCTTTTCTGTCCCCTACTATGCTCTTGGTTTCAATGATATCTTGTGGCAATGTTGTGCATCGTGTGAAAAAGTATTTCCTTCTGGCACCAATCAATGTTTTCTGGGACTGCCCACTGTTGGGAAAATGTTATCACTGTTATGGGTGACTAGTCTGATAACAGAGAGTGACGAGAAACACTTGGTAGGATGTATTTGTCCAAACCAATAAAGAAAGTAAAAAATCAAATGAAAATTCAGTTCATACAAGTTACCATCCTGGGGTGGCTGATGGGATGTATAGGTCACAAGTGCCAAGAGAGCAGGGGAAAGTTCCTGCAGGCCTAGCAGGTGGGCTCAGTTAAACTTGTGGCCAGGGGCATGGGCATTAAATTAAACCTGGGAATTCCTGAGGTTGAGAGGATGTTATGTGGGATGAACTAGTTGTGAACCACAAAGGGAGAAAATCAATCTCACCTTGTGACCCTCCAGTAAAGGCATTTCTTAAAGGGACAGCATCCAGTGGTGGGAGTCTTCCACAAGATGCAGCTTTCTCTGCAGTGTCCTCGAGGCAACGGGCCTGATCCTCCCCGCTGGTATAAATCAGCTAGTCCCTTGATGCTCCACCGGCGCTACCCTGATTTACCCCAGCTGAGGACTTGCCAGGTCTCCATGAGGCCAGCTTTGGAACAGCCCTGATTGCAACAGTTCTGTGGCTGTTGCAATCAATCAGTGGCAGCAGAGATTCAGGGCAGATCATTGAGAGTCTGGCTTCTAGACAAATAACGTGCAAGCTAATAGGAACTAATGTGCCAAAGACAATTAGCACAATCAAGCAAGAGTGCTGTGCTCTGAGAGCAGGGAAATGTAATTGACAGGGGCAGCCAGAGGCTTAGGATGTGATTTCCCAGAATACCCCAGGAGATAAAGACCCTGAAGAAGAAAGGAAACGGAGATAAGAAGCAATATGGGGCTAGACCAGGGGTCTCAAACTCAAATGACCACGAGGGCCACATGAGGACTAGTACATTGGCCGAGGGCCGCATTACTGACACCTCCCCCCGCCACCCTTGGCCCCGCTCCCACTCCACCCCTTCCATGAGGCCCTGCCCCCATTCCAACCCCTTCCCTGAAATCCCCACCCCAACTCTGCTCCCTTCCTGCCCCCAGGGAGAGCAGGAGGGGTGTGGGGCTCAGGGCAGGGAGTTGGGGTGTGGGGTGCAGGAGAGATGTGGGGTACAGCAGGGGGTTGGGCTGCAGGAGGGGTGTGGGGGGCGGGCTCCGGCCTGACACGCACCGGGGGCAGGACAGGCCACCTGCCTGCCTGTCCCCGCACCGTTCCGGGAAGTGGCCGGAACCTGGGGGAGGAGGGGCACAGGGGTCTGTGTGTTGCTGTTGCTTCAGGCACCACCCCCAGCAACTCCCATTGGCCGGGAACTGGGAACTGCGGTCAATGGGAGCTGCTGGGGGCGCTGCCTGAAGCAAGAGCAACACACAGAGCGCTGTGCCCCCCCTTCCCCACGTTCCAGCTGCTTCCCGGAGCGGCAGGGGGCAGGGCAGGCAGGGAACCTGCCCTTCCCCCGGTGCGCGTTGGGATGGAGCCGTTGGGGGGCAGGCCGCGAGGAGCTCGCGGGCCGCAGAAAACAACCCCGCGGGCCGAATGCGGCCCGCGGGCCGCGTGTTTGAGACCCCTGGGCTAGACAAAACCAGGGAAATGTTAAATGTAACAATGTAAAAACAATCCCACTGTGGGAGCTTTCTGTACTGGAACTGGGGTATGGACTATCTCCGGCCTGCCACAGATCAAAAGCCATGTGACAATGGGAAACCTTCTGCCCAAGCCACTGCAAGAAGCGGATTGAGGGGTGGTTCAGTGGAGAACTCCAGCCCTGCCATGCTGTGAGTGGTGTTTTATAGATGAGGTGTAAATCAGAGGCCTTGACAACTTCTTGCTAATACAGATCCCCGGGGCATTTTTGTTATGCAAAATCAGGAGGTGTCCTGGCAGAATGCTAGGGGAGTATACGCTACCTAGGTACAGCGCCTCCTCTGGGACCAGCTGACCAAGGTATTCTTTACTTTCTACTGTGCACAGTCATACAGTGTTGCTGCTTGGTACTGAAGGGGAGGTTGCTTTGCAGTGTTGGGTGAAGAGATGCTTATGCGTAGAGATCCCCTTACATCTGTGCTATCAATGGGCTGCACAGGTGTAGTTGGGCTTAGAATGTGACCCACGGTTTGGAAATCAATTTGTACAGCAATTTCTGTAGATGAAGGGCACTAGGTAAATTCTAGGGTTGCCACCCGTCCAGTTTTCACCTGGACAGTCTGGGTTTCAGCTTGTATGTCTGGGTACCATTTGACAAGTCCTGATGCCAAGTTTTTTTGATCTGGGGGAAGAGATAGTGAAGGGGGCGGGGCTTGGGAGAAGAGACAGAGAAGGGGGTGGGGCCCCAAGGGAAGAGGCAAAGCGGGGGAAGAGGCGGAGTGTGGGGGGGCCTTGGAGGAAGAGGCGGGCAGGGGGTGGGGCCTTGTGGGTCCAGTTACCAGCAATTAGAAAGGTGGCAACTCTAATAAATTCACCCATTATTATTACTTTGCAAAACTGGGGGAATATTCAGGGCAGAAGGATTTAACTATTTACAATCCACTAACATTAATGGGAGACATGCAGCTAAATCACTTGCCACTGTACTGGATGTGTGTTGTGATGAGTTTTATTAATATTTGCATTATCGTAGCCCCTAGGGGTACTAGACACCGTACAAAATAAGAGGCAGCCCATACTCCCAAGAGCTTACAGTCTGACCCGAAGTACCATGCCCGCCTCACAGGGCGGGAAGTGAGGGACACGCAGGTTAAGTGACTTGCCCAAGATCACACAGGAATTTTAAGAAGCAGAAATTGAATCCAGCCCACTTTCATTCCAATCCAATGGGCTAAACGTAAGACCTGCCTTTCTCTCCACCTTCTTTCTTTATGATTACAGCCTGTTCACATGATGCACTTGGAGTGCCTTTTA